GTCGCGCGCCGCGCCCATGTCGCCCGGCTTTCCTCCACCCAGGCACGATGGCCAGACCCGTTTCTCGGCGTCACCGGACATGGGCTTGTTCGCGCCGTCCACACCACGCCCCACGGCCGTCATCGACCTCAACGTGACGCCTGGGTCCAGCAGCGGCGGGCGGCCTTCCGTCGAGATGCCAAGAAAGCAGGCGCGTGCACCGTTCACGGGCACCATGCCGGCCCCCCGCGTGTTGTCTGACGAAATGCCAACCTCAACGCCGACGGTGGACGACCCCTTCTACAACCAGTACATGGAGGACGTGATCTTCCAGGGTGGGCATGGCCGTGCCTACGACCCCGATGAGACCCAAAGTCAGGATGGCCGCGCCCAGTATGTGCCCGATGAAGAGGCCGACGACTGTGCTGACTACGACCATGGTGATTCGTGGCATGAAGACGATGACATCTATGTCGAAGGTGAAGATGAAGATGAAGCCAATGATGTTGATATTAGTGGCGCTCCATTGTTCATAGACGAGCTCACCCAAAGAGCGGAAGCACAAAAGAAGCGGAAGAGCATTCGCACCGCTTCATATACACAAGATGAGGACAAGTTGATTTGCCAATGTTGGATGGAGATTAGCCAAGATCCAAGGACCGGCGCGCAACAAAAGGGTATTGATTTTTGGACAAGAGTCCACAAAACATTCCATGAAAGGAAGATGTTTGAGCCCTACCAAATTACAAGCAACTGTGGCATCGGTTCGATTCAAAAAAGATGGTTGTTCATCCAACAAGAGTGCAACAAGTATTGTGCCGCACTTGAGAGCGTTGAAGCACGACCCGTGAGTGGTCTCGGCGTTGGAGACATGGTATGCTCTTCTCTTTCTAGCCCTTGCTATGGCCATGAGACTTCGGTCGTGTATATGTTTGCATGTTCACTTGTTGTTGATCATGTGGTGTAGGCATTTCAATCTTTGGAGGCATTCAAGGCCCGGCACAATGACAAGCCATTCACTCTTACGCATTGTTGGACGATCATCAACAATTGCCCTAAGTTCAAGGATCAATACCGTGAACTTCAAAGGAAGAGAGGCAAGAAGACGGCCAAGTTCGCCGGAGGTGGGGATGGCGAGGCGTTGAAGAGGCCGAGGGGCAAGACCAACTCAAAGGTGGACGACATACGTGACGCCTCATCCATGGCCTTGCATGAGACTTTGCATGGCATGATGTCACATAAGGATGTGAGGGACGAGAAGAAGCGGCAAAGCAAGGACGAGCAAATGAAGTAATACCTAGACCTCCAACGACAGAAGCTTGAGATGGAGGAGGCGGCTAAGAAGAGGAAGATAGACATGGAGAAGGCGGCCCGGCAAAGGCAGCTCGACATGGAAGAGGCCGCCCGGCAAAGGCAGCTCGACATCGAGGCTGACAACGTCAAGCCCAGGCAGATGCAGCTTGACATCGAGGCCACCAATGCCGCCACCAAAGCGAAGGAGGTGGCCCTTGCGATCATGAGCGTGGACTTGTCGAAGATGAGCGACAAGACGAGGGCCTGGTTCGAGGCCAAGCAGAAGGAGATGCTCGACGCCGAAGGCCTGAACTAGATCGTCCGATCGGCGTGGCCGTTCTTTTTGGAGGCTGGCATGGGTGCCGCCCGCCCGCTGGGCCGCTGGCAGTGTGCCGACGAAAAAACATTAATTTTGGAGGCCGGCTGTGTTGCCGGCTGCTGGCTGTGTTGCCGGTGAGGACAACTATTCATTTTGGAGGCTGACTGTGTTGCCGGCCGCTGGCTGTATTGCCGGCGATGGTCGTGTAGGCCGCTGGTTTTGTTGCCGGCGTGATGAACTCGGGTCGTGAACTGGGGCTTGGCATTTGAAATGTCCCTTTTTTTTAAATAGACGCGGACAGGATGGGGCAAAAGGATGCGGCCGCGCGCTGGGCGCACGGCCACCGCATCTCAGGACAAGCCCAGACACGACTCCAAATCCTTACTCAAAGGGACAAAAACCAAACAAAACGAACATCCGTTTGAGGTCGCGCGGTGAAGTTGGCCTCACGGATGCATGTTGCCTTTCTTTCTGATGCGTACAACTAGCGATCAGGGCATCAAGGGATGCTTTCTCAGGTTGGGCCTTTGGGCTGGAATGTTTGTGCCAGGCCATTAGCGTTAAATTTAGGACTACCGAAGTTTGCACTTTACATATACGTAGAAGTACCGGGTAACGAAAACTCACAGGGGGGCGAGGCGATGGGGGGTGTCTGACCCTGTTCGCACCCCCTGCCTCCGCCTCTGCATGGGAGCCCACGGCGATGTCGAGCTCGTCCAATTCAAACCAGTAGCGATCGATTGCGGTGTCTAGTAGCAGCCTTTTTCGATGTGTGGTGATGAATTCTGACGAGTTTAGGGCGGATTCTGGTAAACTCCACGATAGCGTATTTGCTTCGACGAGGTTTGACCGGTATACGGCCCCCCTAGATTCGGCCTTCCAACCTCTAAAGATAAGGGTTTCGGGTGTACATTTTCGGTGGCCCTTAAAAAATTTACGAGTTGGACCACTTTTACGGTTTCTGTTCTGTTCATTTTTTTCGACCAAAATTGTAAAACGTGAAAGATTTACGAATTTGACCACTTATACGGGGTCCGTTAGAGATGCTCTAATGTGAGTAATATAACATCCCTATGTCCAAAAAGACTCTTAATTTCGTTAACCATCATCACATGCAGCGATCTGTCCAGTTCAGGCGACTGGATTAACTTCACAGCATCCATGCAATCCATCTCAATATCCACCGGCACCCGCACATTTCTATTTAAGGTCAATCATAATTTTCACTAGGTTTATGAGGAATATCAACATCTACAATACCAGTAAATACATTATCCAATATATTTTTATAACATACTTATTTTATAGTGGTAATATCATCTGGAAGCATAGAACTTACGTCGCATGTCAGTTTGATGCTAAAACTTTCAAAATACAGTTTTGTGATCACCTTTTTTTTGCATCGGTTTTGTGGTCATCTAACTTGACTCAAGCATGCAGAAACGGTCATAGTACGCGTATCCATGTGCATGGCCCCACCTATTAGTGAGTGGGTGATGTATTGCAGCCCATTTTAGGCGCATTTTTTAGAAGATATTTGTAGGACGTAAGTAATAAAGTTATGTTCAAATATTTGTGTGTTAAAAATGTTATACATACATCTGATGATTAGTAAATAAAAACATTTAAATATAAATTTGTGTATTATATGTAAAATATTTGGTAAAACATAAGTAATAAAAACATTTAAGATGTTTATAAAACATAAGTAATAAAATTATGTTCAAATATTTGTGTGTTAAAACTGCTATACATACAATTGATGGTTAGTAAATAAACACATTTAAATATAAACATATGTATTTCTACTCTTATAAAAAACCGAGTTGGTGATAATGGTGTGTGTGCCATCTTGCAATATAGACCGTCCGATCTATATCTGACGGGTAGAAAGCAAACTATGACAATTTTACAAAAAGATACCTACACCTCTCTCCACATTTGTAGATAAGGCCTTTCCTCGTTCATCCTTATCTCACACAACCTCATTGTTGAGCAATTAAAAAAGAAAGCCTCTGGAACAATTTGGCACAGTGCCCGCTGCAGGCGTCGTCCATCCCCATGCCTTCGCTCAGTCCGATCACCAATCACCACCACGCCTCACTCCTCCTCACTTTATCTCTCCTCTTTCTTGAGATATCATTGGTTTTTACACATGGGATTGCTCCCGCATGGGTCAATCACAACAGGTGTTTTATAAAAAAAAGCATCTTGATGTTCCGTGCAATGCACGGCCATCTTGCTAGTGCTAGAGAAAAGATGTAGCACTAGTAATAATAAAAGGGCCTATTGCTTCTAGCGGTACGTCAAGAAAATTGTTCATAACGTAGCAAAATATTACCCACCAATGTCATGATTAAAAAAACATAGAGGAATCCCTGGCCTGGGCCGGCCCATGCATTAGAGACCTTCTATACCGCGCTCTACGAGTTGAGAGAAGACGCAGCACGCCCGTTTGGGCCGGCCCATGTCTCGGTGGCTTGTTTTTTTTTTCTGTTTTCCTTTTTTTCTACTTTAAATAATTTTGGGCTTAAAAAAGTTCTAAAAATTAGAAAAGTGAGAATTTTCAAATAAAATATTTAATAAATCATAAAATGTTTGTGGATTCAAATTTTTTGACGTTTTGCCAATTAAAAAATGTTCATGAATGGAAAAAAATCCTGAAAATTCAAAATCTATTTCTGACTTACAAATTCATGAATTCAAAAATTAATCTTAATTTTAGAAAATGTTCAAAAAAATTCAAAAGTTTTCACGAATTTAAAAAATGTTCATGATTTCAAATATGTGCATGAGTTTAATTTTTTTTCATGATTTCAAAAATTGTCATGATCGCACGAAATTGAGAGTGATAGTGTATCTCGATGACGCAACAAAATATGGTCATGACGATTGAAGATTATGATTTTTTTTTTCGTTGCAACGCACGGACCCTTAAGTCCAAGCCAGACAAATATTTTGAGATGTAGCGATCGGTTAGACGCACCTACTCCTATGGACGAATGGCTAAAGCCGGTCATGACCATCCGTTTTGCCGACGCAAACGAACGCAAATCGAAAAATACGACCGTCCCACGCCACGCGGCCGCTCGGGTAGAACACACAAGCCCGTAAAATTGGCGCCTCGGTATTCGGGTGCAGGCACGGCGGTCAGTGTCGCCACTGGCGCACGGCGAAGTCAATTCACAATCAATGGCGAGGCGTCCGACTTGCCCACCCTCCTCTGTCCTCTCTCCCCCCCTCTCTCTTATTAGTGGAGCACCTCTCTCACTCTCAGTCCCAATGCTCAGCGCAACACTCGTCCTGCCTCTTTCTCCATTCCCCCTTCCTCCGCCGCCAGCTAGAGTTACGGTCGCCGGTAGCAATACCTGTGATAGCGCCGGTGGGAGGGTGGCGGCGACCCGCGCGGATGGCCGGGGGAGACGCGTCGACGGGGGCGGAGGTGGACGCGGGCTTTGAGTTCGCCTTTGACAACGAGACCTTCTCCGACAAGGTGCTACGCATAGAGGTCGTCGCCGGCAGCGGCGACGCGGCCGGGCCGAGCGCCGGCGCCGCCAGCCGCAAGCGCCGCCGCGAGGGGGACGAAGGTGCGTGCGTGCAGGCACAGTACCCAGTCCGTATTAGCCATTAGTACTGGTATATAGGTACTAGATTCTAAGCGTCACGCTAATGACTAATCTAGGCACGTGCGTAGGTGCCTGCATGAAAGTATCGGTCAGATTTGTGAGCGCCTCCAAAAAAATTAATCCATCTTTCCAAATCTGGCTACGCGAGTTCTCGCATGCTTTTTTGGATGTAAATTTCTCGCGATTGGGATCTGGATTTGGGGGAAATTTTCTGGCTTATTTTGGGGTTATACGTTTGTCTGTCCGTTTGTTTTCTAGGGATTGGTAGTAAAGAAAAAGAGATGAAATGTGTTGTGG